CTACAATTACAATACCATAATCTTGGCTTGCTTTAATTAGTTCTAATCAGCCACGAAAAAAAAAAGGTGTGAAAAAAGGATTACTTGATATTTTTAAAGCAACATTATATTTATTAATGGGGTACACCAACAGACATAACATTGATGGTCACAATACTTGACCCTCATTTGAAAAGATTCTGCTTTGCATCTGATAATCAAAAAATAGAAGCTCAAGGAAATTCAAAGACAAATCTATTCAGATATAAAATACAATAGAAACTATTATCCAGGAATCACCAATCCTTTAGAATGGTGGAGGGATAAAGAATGTTTGCCTATATTACAAGATATTATCTTTTGACACCAGCAACTTCAGTACCTAGTGAACGGTTATTCTCTGATGTTGGTATTCATTAGCGCCAAAAGAACTCGCTTAATCCTAATCTTTTGTCTAAAATGTTTTTAAAAAAAAAAATGCACCGAATCAAATTATTGGTTCAAATTGTTCGAATGGTTGACGGTGCTCGAATCACTCGAATCATTCTAATCGCTGATGGTTTGAATCGAATCATCGAGTATTCAAATCAAAAAAATTTTTACATACATATAAGTAAAAATTAATATTTAAAATTTGCGCAAGTACTCACAAGAACTTGAGCTACAAACTAATGAAAATTTTTTTTTAATATACAAAACTTTGTATTTGTTGATTTTTATATTGAAATTTATAACTTGATAAAAACAGTAGAAAATAATTTATTAGCACTAAACAAAAAATCTAAATAAAATCACTCAATTTGAGTTAGTTGAACTTAAACGGGAATGTAAGCTAGTATTATCCAAAATATCAGATGAAATGGATTCACTATTATTAATACTGTTATTATTATTTACCAATGAATGGTTAATTGTCACTATCGCTTCTACTATTAATTCGCCATTATTGTTATTATTTAATGGTTCACTATTACTATTATCATCTTTTATTCTGCTATGAGTATTGTGGAATGAATAATAGATTTTTTCTTTTTGACATTCCAAGTAATAAAGTGAGTTGAGAGAATATATCTTTTTTTATCATATAGTGCAGGTCACTATTGAATGTTTATCTGAAAAAACAGAGACGATATTTGATAGCTATCGACTAGTTCTGCAATCCATCGTCGAGATAATTTAAAAAAATTGCTGGTTTCAGGGTGCGTTTTATATGTTACATATAAAAGTTTCCAAATTTAAAATTTTTAAAGCTAAACCAGTAATTTTTATCTCAACGATGGATTGTAAAACTAGTTAATAGCCATCAAACATCATCTATATTTTTTTTATACTAAGGTTATTTAATGTGTGTTAGAGTGACCAAAAAAAATTATTTATCAGCCGTTTAAAAATTCTTTGGTCGCTTAGCCGCTTGTTTTTCTCAGTTGGCTGGCATCACTAGGTAAAAATATCTTGTATTTTGTTGTATTCAAAAATTTGTATGGTTTAATTTTAGAATGATTTCTTGTAAAGATGAAATCAATTGAATCATTTTCAAAACTAAAGCTAAAACGGGTATCAAGTTGAACCAGTTTCAAAGCAACAAATTCAAAATTTCTATCAATGGAATTTCTTTTGAGTGTCGAAATTAATTATTGTTTTTAAAGATGGCAATGCTTCATTGCCGGGAAAAATAGATTTCCATAATCACGACCTATCATGATACGAGTAATGCCATTAATGAAACATATATCACTTGAATAAGTTGACTTCTTCCAACAGGTTCCATACATACCACTAAGTAGCAGCCAATTTTAAATGATAAAAGCAATCTATATGATATGTATGCAAAAAGAATAAAAAATATTGTCTTACACCACCTTGATGTGATGTAAGAATAATAATTATCATGGGAAATTTACAAATCTTATAATCCGAATTAGAAATTTTACTTAATATTGATTAAACTACCTACTAATCGTTGTTGACACCCACTAGTTAACTAACATTAGTCCTAACCTTGCTTACTTGCTCACTAAAGTAAATAAACATGGCCTTTTACCCAAAGCTCCACAATTGTTACCTTGTCGCTTTTATCAAAGCGCTTTAAACAAAGAAAATAAAGACAATATTTTTTATTTTATTTTTAAAAGTTTATTAATGATTAATTTTATTTAATAAAAATGATGATTCTCTCAGAGTTTTATTTATTAAAACGTTAATTGTCCTCTGCGAGGATGAAGTTATGCTTTTTCAAGCAAAGTTATCCTTAATGAAATTTTCATTGATCACTACAATAAGGATAAAGATAAATCAATATTGACATTATAAAAACTTCCATAATTATTTACACAATAATTTGATAATAATTATAAAAAGCTTTTGCGTAAAGTTTTCATTTAACACTAAAATTAGTTGACCTGGAACAAGTACCGAATCCCTAATCAATGATTTTATCTACCTCAATCATGTATCACGTTATTAATATAAGAAATGTTCAAGTTTAATAATGAGTGTGTGGGAACTGATTTTGTATTCAGAAAACTTAGCTCCTTGGGAACAACTGATAAAACAAATAAGATTGAGATACTTGAGATAAAAATATTTTATTTTATTTTTTGAGAGCTTTTATATTTTATTAGCAATTCTTACGTCATTTTTGACTTAAGGTAGCGAATTTGACGTAATAATTTACAACTTTGGCTAACTTTTATGTTAATGATACGCAGTTGTTCTCGATTTAGCGAATTTCGGTTTAGAGGATTTAGGATAAGACCAAATTTTATCTTGATGACGATAATGATGATCATTACGCTTTTTGGTTATTATAATATTTATAATAACGCACGATTAATAATGTATGATAATACATTACGTTCTATGTATAATAACTATGTTAATAAGAGATGTAAATAAACAATTACGAAACAAGAACAAATACAAACAAGAATAGAAGATTATTGTAATAATAAGGTTAACATTTTAAACAAATGAATGTATTTTTTTATATTAAATAAAATAATAAAATAATAAAATTTTTATTTTAGTGTAATATATCACATGATTTAACTAATCAAAATTTTTTATTTAACGGATATCTCGATTTAGCGGATAAATTTTCATACAAATATGTCCATTAAATCGAGACTTGCTGTGTATATCACAATGCTGTTACTTCAATCACAAGAAAGATTTTCTCTAATTAAAATAGAAAATAAAGTATGAAATACTTTAAAAGATATTGCTCACCATATAACAATTCCTTATAATATAAAGAGATTAACGTAAAAATTACAATCATCTGATAGTTAATTCAATTTGTTGAGATTCTACAAGTATTTATAATATAATTTAAAATATCATCAATAATAAATAATTAAGATCGAGCATATAACGATAAATTAGGTAATTACCATCAATTGTAACTTTATTGGAGTTTACAGATTGTGGAAGATTTATAAAATTCAATAATCTACTTGTATAAACAGCATTCGGATGAACAATTGCCGCAATTATTGAAGGATTAAAAGGTTTTTATCTGCTTCAAATCATTTTTATTCTTTAGACCTATTTGATTGATATGCACTAACTGATCATACCAAAAACTAATAATCTCTAAAATTTCATTTGCTATTGGTCTTTTTTCAGAATTAACATCTGGTCATATAGTTGATCTTTGAATGGTTGTTGACATGTTAATGTTTCTGAAATTAAAGTCCCAAAGCTATAGATGCCAGATTTTGGTGTATAGTGTTTCTTATTTAACAATTCTGGTGCAACATGTAGTAATACTCCAAACTATTACTCGATGGTTCTTGATCAGCTGGGTCTGGTAATCCTAAATCTGCAATCAATGCCTGGGGTAAATATTCAAAATATAAAATATTACCACCACTGTATGATGAAATATGTTTAAACTTGAGATAACACAATAAAGCATTCTAATTCTTTTGCCCCATTTGCATAGTGGGATTTTTAAAACTTCCATCATATGCATATCTCATTATTAGAACATATTATTTTGTATTGGGGTCTTGTGAAATGCCATAAATATTAACAATACTATTATAATAAATTTAATGTGATTTTGAAAAAATTAATAAAAAATTAATATTATTTAAAAATAATTCATTAATTATCAATAAATTATTTATTGCTTTTAAAACTCCTCAGAAATATTTTATGAATTTTTTAATTCCTCATTTGTCTAGTCTGATTGGTGTCTGCAACTGATACAGCTTCTGTATTGCTTAATCAAAGAACTAATAAAAAAGAAAGGCTGGAAAGTAAAGATTATCTATGATTGAGATGAATGCTTGCAACCCCTCAACCCAGTAATTGATTTAAAGGAGCAGGTGACACAAGGAGAATTTAGGCTATTGTAATGGATTATAGATAGTATTGGTATTATATAGTAATGAAAAAATCGAAAGACTTTGAAAGAAGGTAAAGAAGCTCAATAGTGGCAATTTTGCAGTTTGCATTTCTTTCTTGGGAAAAATGAGTGACCCGATGGAAAAAGAAGACATTCAGAATTGCAAATGCATTTTGTATTCTTTAAAAAGAACAACTCATCTACAAGAAAGCGGGGTGTAGATTAAGGATTAAAAAAATAATAATAAGTATATTAATATGCAAAAGTTCGAGTAATTAGTTATATATTATGGGGCTACTTGGGATTTTGACCCCTAAAATTTTTGTGGTGTTATGTTCACTTTGTGTTTGCAGTACGCCCCAAATAAAATATAATATGTAATAAAAATTTTTTTTTATATTTTTTTAAACCACCTTTACCAACTGAACCCAACAAGTGATAAATAGGTTATTATCTATTTGAATAATATATAAACACAAGAAAATCTCCTAAACCAAAACATCAAGAAAATATTTTTACACCAAAATTTTTTTGAAACTTACAAATATTATCTTTATTAAAACGACTAATTCTTTCAAAAAATATTAAAAAATTTCAATCTTACGCTACAACTATACTTTTCACGCTAATTCATTAGAATCTAATTATTCCTTTACATACAACTATCATTTTTGTAAGTATTTTTGTTATTATTATGTTCATTGTTGAATTAATTTTTTCTAATCATAAAAAATATAATCTTGCAGGTCTCTGTACCTTATAACGTTGTTCACGATCTACTTCATCTTCAATTTCGGTATGTGATCTTTTGTGTGATTGTCGAGTTAATCTGGCTCCATTTGATCTAGCACCAATAGAATATTTAGCACCCTATCAAAAACATTATTATTATTTTTTTTTTTGATCATTAATTCAATTCGATTTTATATAAATAAATAAATAAATAAATAAATTAGTTAAATGTATAGATAAATAATGTACTTTTTGTAACATAGGGTTAGATTCTTCTTCTACTTTTACAAGACGTTCAGTCTCTTTCTTTGCAATTTCCTTTTCGATAATTCTTTGACTACGTTTTCTATTAGCAACAGCTTCGACTTTTTTACGCTCCTTTTCCTTTGTCTATGAATATTACAAATAAATTTTTAATAAAAAGATTGTTTAAATATTATTCTATATAATTTGATCGCACAAAAAAAAAAAATAATACTACTCTTAAATCTTCCAAAACTTTCGGAACAATATCTTCTGTCAACAATGCATAAAATTCTTTTTCTGCAGCATTACGAGATTTTGCAAATCTCTGAGGAAAGTTTTCCCAATCCTCGATAGTTACACATAACTTAAAAAAAATAGATGTTCAATATATTAATTATTGTGATTATTAATTAATTTTGATATGCATGCATATAAACCTACTGTTTCCCAAATCATAGTCTCACTATTATTAATGGCAACGTGTTGGTCAAATATAAACAAAAACTTTAATATTAATTAAATTCTAAATAGTAGGTAGGGCTAGACCAAATTTTCACCACGGCGCAGCTCACAAGAAAAAGAAAAAATTACCCTCCCCTATTCCTTCGTTTCCCCCTTTTTTCTTCCTCATTTCATTACAACGTACACTTCCTTCCCCAACATAAGAGAAATTAAAAGCGCCACTCTTAAACTTTTTATTTAACAAACTTCACACATCAAATTTTGGTTGGACGAATCCACCAACAACTCCACAACTAAAGACTGATCATATAGACCTTTACACAATTAACTTCTTGACTACTCAAGAAAGCAGCAACAACAACAAAAAGAAAGAAATTATGCTGGGTTCAACTACAAAAGTTTGCTACTGAGTATTTAATGGGCACGTCTATTATTGATCAAATAAAATAGTAAACGACGAAGTATTGCGCTGGGTGCCTTTTATTATAGCATGGGTAATAGAAAAATTTTAAAAAAAATTTAAAAATGTCGAATTCTTCTTTTTTATATAAATTTCTTTCTTCATTGGTTTTTTTTTTCAATTACTGGTCTTAATAAAATAAAAAGAAAGCTGGTAAAGATATGCGGATAGCGCATTTTATTATTTGAAGCTTCAACTAAATAAATTCTTGCATGTATTTTACTATTGACACTGATTGACCTTGTTTTATTGTCCATACCATCAATTATAGAACAACTACCTTGTTTTTATTGTCCACACCTAATAATAAGAAAGAAATAAATAAATAAATATATTATCTCTTAAACAGTCAAAAGTATTCTTTAATGGCAACACAAAATTACGAACTTGCATTCTTATTGGCCAATTCAACGATCTGCAAAGTAAAAATAGTCAATTGATCAACTTTTAAGGAAGATTTTACAAAAAAACACAAGGACAATAACCGAATTTTTATTCACAGATTAATCAGCTGAATCTCAAAGATCATTTTCGTATTAAAAAGTGATACCTTCAGAAAAAGCTTTTATAACAGAAAAAAAAAATTTCGGCTATCAATAGCCGAAAAAACGTTCGAGGGACCAGATGATTAAAAAATTTCGAAATTTTTAGATTTCGTTTGCAGTCTGGGATAATATTTGTTTTTAAATAAAATAAAGTTTAAATTAACCAAACATCTATTTATATTTCTTTTTTTTTTTTGAATTAAACTAATTACAAACGCTTATTTATATTTTTTTTCTTGAATAAATAATTAAATATTATACTTGAATCTTAAGTTTTATATAGCAATTTTAGGCAAGAATCCAGCGGTCCCTCCATATAAAGATAAAATATTTTATAAGAAAGTCCCTTTGAAAATTTGTATATTAAAACTTTGGGTTTCTTATTATTTATTACATTTGCAAATACAATTTATAAATTCGTATAAATAGTAGTTTTTTAGGAATGAAGTATGGGTTCCGGAAAATTCTATTATGAAATTATTGCAGTTGTTTCACGTCAATGATAAAAAAAATTTTTTTTATGTTAAATGGGAGTTCGTTATAGAGAGCATTTGGTTCCCTCAAAGACAGAGTGCAAATTTAATTAATAAAAAATCGGGACCAAAATCTTAGTTCATTATAGAGAACAATTCGCTTCTAGGAGGTTCGTTTATAGAGAGCTTTGACTATATGTATAAATCATACCTTTTTGTCTATTTAAAAAAAAAAAATGGGGGACAAATGATAACTACTACTACTTGTTTAGAGTCTCTAAAATTTAGAATTTTTGTAGACCCATCTAAAAAAAAAACCCCCAAAAAAATATAACAATAATAATAAATTCGTCAATTCAACATTTTTTTGCTTCTTGGATACTCTTATAAGAAATTTCTCTTTTAACTTCAATACATTTTAATCATTAGAGAATCAACTTCTAAATCTTTTCGTTGTATATATTTAAGTGCATTTTCCATAACCTCTATACTTGTTACAATCAGCTCACTTATCTTCTTACCATTCTCATTATCTTCAACTTCATGTTGTCCCAATACAATGTTTACAATTTCTTGTTCCGTCATTTCTTCATCGAATTCAAGATTTTGATCAATCATAATAAATTTGTTAACATTAATTAATACATTACGTTATTGCGTGCCATTTATCTTATAAAGTTAGCCATCCAAAAAGCTAAGGATCATTGTTATCTCAATATCGAGAAAAATTTATTGTAAGTGACATATATTAATACTAATATGAAAATCTGTTGGATAAAATAATAAAAATTTGGTTTCGAAAATTTATCCCTACAAATATACTTTTTTTCTCGGAAAAAAAAATAATATTCAAGAGATAGATGTCTTGAATATAGAAATTTAATAAACTTATTTATGATCTATTACTTGAAAACAATAAATACGCAACTAGACTAGATTGATTTAGTGAAGTCTTCGGGCATTGTAACTTGGTAATTAAATTATAATCATAATTATCTTTAGTGCTGTTAACTCTATTATTGTTATTATTACCTTATTATATTTAAAAAGATATAATGTAATATGTTCGTTAAGCTTATTTTACGACTCTCATTGCTATAAAAAAATGAAAGATTCTAAATATATAATTCAAAAAGTAATATTATTCTACATAAATCATTGATAATTATATTCTGATAAATAGAAAACATTACTATGGAATTGAATTGTATCATGTACAATATTTACAACATATACATCGTGCGTCTCAATGAACTTTATGCACGATTTAGGGATAACTTCCTTCTATATCTCGAAAATTTTATTCCGAAACGAAACTCTTCAGTAAAGGAGAAAGGGTAAATGAAAGCCATTAATTATCATTAATGATGATATTTTAGTTTGTTATCAAAGTCTTGAACTTGTTAAAAAAAAGAATATCATCAATTTATATAAATAGTAGTATTAAAATCACTTCAACATGAATGCTGGTCGCTAATTGGATCATAGTATAGTAATTGGGGATGTTAACTTGCTCATCGGTTTAACTTAGCTCAATCCAGTTTTGGAGTTCAAGCAGATTGGACCTTTTTTAAAAAGCAGGCTTTTGAGCAATCAAATGCGAAATATAATTTACGTAAAGTAATTATATAAAAATTCTTGAACATGCTATTTAGAGCTAAATTTACTCAAACAGATTTAGCTCCAAATTATATTTTTTTTATTGTTATGCACAATAAAGTAAATGTTAATTTTGGCAATTCGTATTTTTGTCATTATATTGATATGTATTTACTCTTGAACATGTGCTTCAAACATAATCTGATAATAAATCAACTATTTATGACGTGATCTTAAAGTATAATTGAAAGCATGTTTGAAACACGTTTCGAACGGATATTAAATCGAATTTTTGTTTAAACTCGGTTTAATTATCTTCGACCGAGGCAAATTAACATCCTTAATAATAGCGGATGATACATTCCATCGTAGACTTCTGACCAAATACTCGGTAGCTAGCCTGAGATATATCCTTATTTAAGAAGTTACAATTGATAATTTTTTTAGCCACAATTGAATATTAGTATTAGTATTAGCGTCACTCTAACGAGGAGAGAGGGTTGTTGGATAGCTAAACTGAGAAATTCCAACAAAGTTTTTTATAATCATTGGTTGAACAAAATGAGTAACAGTTCTCGAATAAAAATGCGTGACTTGATGAATTTAATCTTAATCACTTCTTATGATCAATCTATAAATATCAGAAATAACAAAGTTAATAATCATGATGATGTTCTAACTTGAGAAAGTAATGAAACTCTTAGTTATAAATTATATGATGAACATGATGGACTGATAACAGCATTGACGGATTCGCTAACTAGTATCTTCTAGGAGTAACTATAATTACGACAATCTAGATGTATATTTCATCCTTCTGAAATGAAAGTAATACTTCAAATTGCATTTTTGTTTAAAGAAATAATAATTCTGTTGCTTTCGAAAAAAGTGTATTTTTACACTTTGTAAAATTTTGGCTTGAATTACTCGAAAACCATCAAATGAATACATCCGGAAATTAATATTTATATAATATTTGTGTCAAACTTACAATTTTCTGATATTGCGCTGAAATTTTCTCGATATACTATTTACGTACCAAGTAAATATTGCTCTTTGGATAAAAATACATATGTTCAAATTCATGAAGAGATTCTGTCTTGGGTTTGTTTCTTGATGACATTAAATTAAAGATAATTAAAAATTCGAGTCACGAATCAGTTTTTTAAATTCGAATCATGATTCAAATCGATCTAAATATATGATTTAGTATTTGATTTTTCAGAGATATGCGAGCATATGCAATTTAATTAAATCATCATTGACAAGGTTTTAATTATCGTGTTCCAGGGTCCACTACCATCATCACCACAATTATTTAAAACTTCTTTTTTAGCAGCAAATTTGACAAGTAGTTTGTTTTTTAGATAGTGGCGAGACAATGTAAGAAATTCATTTGCTTACAATTGCCCAAATGTTTTAACTATATTAGATACCAAGTTTGCTAAAATATATTTGCTTATTTTTTTCCATAAAAATAACTCAAATTACTAAAATGGTAACAATCATCATTGCATCCAATTGCGTAACTTTATCAGATTTTCTTATCTTTGATAAAAAGGTTAAGTGATATTATTGAAAATATTTAAATAAAACCAAGACGTTTTCATTCGTACAAGTCAAATATTATTTTATCATATAAATAATATAAATATATGAACAGATGCCAAACGATTAGAATGCGTACAGACGTTCTACGTAGGAAAATATTTCATTTTCCCTACATATACACACACATATATTCAATGTTATTTCGGGTATAGATGAGAAACCAAACAGGTTAATGTTAATTTATTAGTATATATTAAGGGTTACAACATTATAAAATTTAGAAAAAATGTTACAAGAATAATTGGTTACTATTACTATTATTATTATGAATATAAATGATAATGATAAATATACATAAAACAATAAAAAATTGTTTCGGAAAATTTTAAAAATTTATAAAAAGCTGTGTATTGTAGATCAAAATTGCAATTATTTAATTCATTAAAAAAAAAAGAAAAAGAGAAATGGCAGCAGCTAGTTCACCTCCAGAACTTTTGTTTGAAATATCTAAATATATCAAAGATAATGACTACAAAACACTATATTCGTGCATTCTAGTTAATAGAAAATGGCACGACACCATCATTCCAAATTTATGGAAAAATTCATTTTATTCTACCGGCAGCACCAAAATATTGATTAATTGTTTATTAACAGAAGAAAATAGTGACTTTTTAAAAAAAAATAAAATTCAATTAAATTTTAAATTATTGGAGAAACAACCACCACTACACAATTACGCTAGTTTTATAACTGAATTAGATTTCAACAAAATGAATTGTGGTATAGATGGGTTGTTGTTAGATAATCGTGTGATTCGTTCTCTAACAAGGAGATTATTAGAATTTATTTTAGATCATTCTTCTAATGTCAAGATACTTGGTGATTTCGACCCAGATTATGCATTTCTGTTCATTGACCATGATAGATTTAATGTGTGCTTTCAAACTCTTTATGAATTGGATTCAGTGAATTTTAATTCTGATTGTTGTGATTTTCTTGAAAAATTATCAGTTACTTGTAGAACTATTCAAGTTTTAAAAATAAGATATGATGACTCTTCAGATAGTGATAAGGCTGTTCGTAGCCTAGCTCTACTAATTAAAGCACAACAACAAATTAAAGAATTGGTTGTTAAAGTATATGGCACTTTAATTTTATCAAGTGATTTCAAGAATGCAATTTCTATTCATTCAAAATCAATAATTTCATTTCAGAGCAACGACATAAAGGTTTCAAATTCTCTAATACCAATGTTTCCAAATTTGGAAACATTAACATTGCAAGACTATTCAAAAAACCTTTATAATTATGATGAGATAAATTTTCAATATTTTGTTTTGCAAAATCTTCAAGTATTACATTTGGATCTTACCCAGCTACATTTTTTGGAATTGTCGGATTTCATTAACAGCACCAACGGAAAAAATATTAAATCTTTGACAATCCGTGGTAGGCCTATTGACATTCGTTCTTTGAGAAATTTGATTATATCAATTGAACAACATTGTAAAAATCTAGAATGTTTAGAAATATTTTACAACAACCAAGTAAACCATGAGCTAACTTGCATATTTAATAATTGCACTAAATTGAAACACATCACGTTAGGTAAAGTATGTGTTAATAATGTAGATGTTGAGGAAGTATTCAATATATTAAATCAAACATTACCAAAAAATCTAAATACTATATGTTTTAATTATGGTTTTTCTTCTGATGACGATACATTGGAGGCTCTAACTAAGAATTGGAAACGGCCTAAACCTTTAAAAATAAAATTTTTAGAAAATGGCAAAGACTATTATCTAACGTCATCACCAGATGATCAACAATTTATTTAATTTGGGATTTTTTTTATTAAATATTTGTCATATTTATTTATATAATATAGTTATTTCATCATTATTTATCTTGTATATTTGTTTATCACACATAGATTATAGTTATTTAATGAGTTTATTAGTTAACGAAAGAATATGATGACTTTAATTTAGCGCAACGTATTTAACTTTTAAGCGTTATGAAAATGATTGCGTTGTATATATAGGGTGTAGTTAACGTTAATTTTGATATTATTTTTGATATTGATATTGATGCTGATGTTAATGTTAACGTTAAGTTAAGTGTTGCCAAAATTTTTTTAAACGGATAGAAGTTCTATTTATAATAATAATAAATAAAAAAAAAGATGTCAGACCAGTAAAAAAAAAAACTTACTGATTATGAATTGATTGGTTTTGGTATTTATTATTGTATAAATAAAATAATTAAGCCACTGTTAAATAATTAAGCCTTTTTTAATTATATAAAGAGGATTTTATTCGTAACTAGTAGTTAAAATAATCGCCCTCTCTATTTATACAATAACCACCCATGGTCATTGTAATCAAGAGTTTCATCTATTATTAAGGCTTGAGCTACTATTCTAGCTTGACATAGTGTTATTGTCAACTATAGCAAAAACCAAAAATTGCATGTTGCATTTGTTTTACATCTTTCATATAAATTTAAATGTACATCTGTCATCCAAAAGATACCAGTAAGCTGATAATTAGGTAATATTATGTCTGACGTATATTTTCCATCTATTCTCCTCCTGGTATTTAAAAAACACATCTATCATTAAATATCCATCATTCTTATCTTTTTTGCAACTGCATTATACACGTTGCTTTTGTTTATTACGTTCTTTGGTTATTTATTTCCAAGAATTCGTATAATATTACTTGTAGTTGTTTACAAAAGTGAGTATTTGTTCAAAGAGTAATTGTACAAAAATGCTTCAACTTGTTGCAAAGTGTCACCAACTTTCAGTGAATATATGACACGATCATTGTTATGAATGTTCAATAATTCCATTGTTGTCTTCTTCACCACTAGATAAATAATAAATTGAATTTATATTTAAATAAGCAAGTAAATGTAAAATTAGAATTTTTTTTTCCAAAACAAAAAAACCAAATGCAACATATAATCGTCTTCATTTAAATGATTATTATCAATAATGTTTTCAACTTGACTTGTATCTTAACCATCAACTGCAAGGTGAATTGCACAAATTGTTGTAGGTAGGTGAGGTTATTGTAGATCCAGATTCAGAGAAAGCGGAAAAAGTAGCAGTTATAAGTGGTCCTTGACGCGTTTTTTCAATTTCAAATGCTTTCATTTCTTCATCTTTGTTACTATTACATATTATTATGAAAACATATAAAAATTCTCTGAAACACGATTAGTAATAGTAATTTCGTTTCAATGGATTTTAAATGAAATTTCTTGTGTGTCCAGCCATTCCATTGAAATGAGGATTATACTGTACAATCATATATTTTTTGTAAAGAAGACTTATTTATTTATTCAAGTATAATAGCATGTAAAAAATTTTTTATCCTTAAGATAAAGATAAAAATCAAAAGAATAATTTCAATCGGTCAATTTCAGAAAATAACTTCCTGGTCCTAAAGTAACGTTATCAGCTCCATAGGTATCTACCAAGTGCTTATTCAAACAAGTAGTATCATTAATACATGGCTCGTTATCACTAACAACCCAAAATTCGAATTGCCTGGTTTTGTCCTTTGCAACTTGCTGAGCCAGGTCGAACCCTTTAAAAAATGATTTTAACTTTTCATTGCTGTTAAGAAGTTGGGGCTTCATCTTAAAAATCACTTTCGTAGGCAAAGTTTTGTTAGATTTCTCAGTATCAGTTGTATCATCATTATTGTCATCAGTAATGGAAACATATTCTTCCAATTCTGCCAACCCCTCAGCATTTGATTCCAATATATTTAGCAATGCTTTAGCAATTGCGCTAGCAAATATACCACCACCTAAACCAGTGGCAATAACTCCTCCAATACCTAAACCAGCGGCACCAATTGATTGTAAAATCGCCACAAGACTACCAGCAGCGACAGTTCCACGATGTAATGACATAAGCCATGCTGCAACAGATCCAGCTGCAATACCAGCTTCACCAAATCCTAACGCTCCCACTACTCCACCAATTACGACAGGACCCAGAATCAAACCAGTAATTGTTGCAGCGGTTGTAATCAAAATCTTTTTGTGTTTAATAACAAAATCCTTTGCACGTTCTCCGAAGTTTTGTGGAGGAGGTGGCCGTAGAGGAGAGTTTATGAATCCATCCTTCATGAAAGAATCAAGAATGATGCCTTTAAAAATGTTTGCAACTGAAATGTCGGATAGGCTTGCCATTTTCTGTTAAAAAAAATTTTTTTTGTTTATTTTTTTTTACTAAAAAAAGAATCAATAAGCCGCCCCATTCTTAGATCACCAAACATATATGACTGCAATGCGTGTCACAGTAACACGTATATAGCTTAGTGAAGATTTATTTAGGTAATACCATTCATTAAAAATCAAATTTGTTTACGCCTGTTATAATGACACTCACTATTTAAATCCAATAATAATACTTACACTCATTGGTAATGACATATCAGTGTAATGCAGAGAATCGATTAAAATCAATCATGATTTAATAATCAATAAAATATTGATTAGTTAAGAGTGAAACTATTATTCATTCTTGGGAAAAAAGGTTACATTTTACCAAAAGACGATTTAAATGATTATATTAATTATGAAAATAGTGAGGATAATGTTGAATTAGAATTGCAAAATATAATGAATGAACAGTATAAAGAATACATAACAACTGAAGACTATATTAATTGTAATAACACTTACGAAATTGAAGCAATGCCTGGATTATCGCTGTTGTTTTAAATAAAGAAGAGGAAGAAAATATTATTCATATTAATATTAATGATGTATTGAAAACTTGTGTAAACCTTCTTACTTATATATACAACAATAACAAGAACCAAAGTTTATAGTGGAGGATTACATTACAAGAATTACGTGTAAAAAAAATCAGAATTTTAGAGAAGCTAAACAAATCAGTTAATTTTTACGTTCAAAATAATTAATTAAAATAAAAACTAAATTATAAAAGATTCTTCTTACATGCATTTATATGAACTCTCGTTATAATGACAATCTCGTTATACTGACATTTTTTGTTTGCGCACTTTCATTAGGATATGTTTAGATTTAAAGATTACATATGAAGTGAAAAATTGCATAATTTTTAGTCAAATAAATGGAATTCAGTATAAAATATATAACAATGGTAATTTTGTTGAAAGTAGACGCTAGTCTTTTTCAAGCATTTCATTAAGCAATCTCGATTTATGTTTTTATTGTGATTATCATTTTGTTTCCTTTTTTTTAAATAACAAACTAGAAGTGCCATCACAGTATATTTATTTATCCATGTATAGATTATACTTGGGCCATTCAAACTATCACTTCTATTTTTAGCACCAATCCAAAAAATTTGGATGTAAATGGTCAAGGAAAAAGTGTATTGGAGGGAGAACTGTTTTCCTCGATGCTCTCTTACCATCAATTTCGAAATAGCATGTTTCTTTCCGAACAATGATTCTGTTAATACTGGGTCAAGGCGAGAAAGGTAACTTGACATTTTTTTCATCACAACTATTCCAATGGTTTCATTACTGAATAGCTTGTACCCACCTTAAGCATTTTTTGAGAAGCTTTAATTAAAAATCATTAACTATTATTATTATTAATTTACATACATATTCTATGTTGTTATCGTATTCACATCGACCTACAAAATAAACCAATGTGACTTTCACGAAGTCGACCACTTTATCCCTTTCTCTGAACGTGATTGGAATTGATTTATACTAGTGATGGGCGGGTTTATAACAACCTAGTTTATACCCTGTTATATACCCGTTATATACCATGTTATATACCATTACTGCTTTTATACCATGTTTATACCATGGTTGTACAAAATAATAAATTTTTTTAAATGACCACAGCATTTTATTGTTAAAAAGTCACAAGAAAGAAAAAATAACAATAACAAGCAAGCATTATATAGCTTCTTGTAACTATTGTCAACATGCTTTTGATGAATGACCTCTTTCCATGATTAAACATTTACTTTATTGTAATAGCACACCAAATGAATTAAAAAATAAAACTAAAAGGAAAGATTTTGATAATATTCATGGAAAAAATAAACAAAAGTCATGGAAGGGTTCATGATAAATGATCAATTAAAGAAAAAGAAGGATTAGACAATTTATCTCTAGCAATTTTTGGTAGTGGTCTCCCCTTATCAATTGTAGAAAATCAGTATTTTATCAATTTTTGTAAAAAACTACATCCTGCTTATGAATTACCGTCTAGAAAAACACTCACTGCTGTCAAATTGTTAAATGAAAAATATAATGAAATTACTGAAAATAATAATAATCAAATTTAAAAATCAAAATATGTCTGTATAACAAGTGATGGTTGGATTTCATGGTTACTTTACCAAAACCACTATTTTGGGAAGCATTTAAAAATGAAGAAATTGACAATGACTTGGATTTCAATTATAATGACTATAATTATGATGGTGAAAATTATGATGATGATAATGATTTTGATGAATTTATTAATTTAGAAGATAGTAGTAGCAATCAAGAATCTATGAAGATATATAACATAAGTTTATTGCAATTAGTATTTCTTATAAATAAATATTCAAACCAAAATTGTTATCTTATTACATATTACATATTAGTGGTATATACCAACCAAAGGTATATACCATTTATACCCGGTATATACCCTACTAAAAAATTACACAAGAAATCAATTGTGGTATATACCATGGTATATACCAGGTATAAATATGGTATATACCCCTCAAATTATTTATAACATGTTATATACCATCCCTAGCGTCTGCGGCAGAGTTAGGCCTGTTGGAAGCCAGCAATGGCGAGTTGTCATCAAGAGGCAGCTGGCTGATTTTACTGCACAGAATGAGGAAGAGGATTGTTGAGTACAAAGGAGTCTGCAGCAGGGTTAAGCCTGTTGGAAGCCAGCAATGGCGAGTTGTCATCAAGAGACAGCTGGCTTTTGTAATCAGCAACCTGTTTCGATGATTGATTGATTGATTGATTTTGTCTAAGGCTTTACTAATAATGATTTCTGTCTTTTTTGCTTATGGCAAGATACTACCAACGAAGATGAAAAATGATCATAAGCTCCAACAGCAACACCTCTAGGTTTTTTCCACATGATTCACCCAGCACACCGATCCTGTGCAATTGATAAACTGAAGAAAGCATATTATTTGGTATTAGAAAAGTGTGAAATGATTCAAAACTCCAAACAATGAAGATTGATGTATATATTTAATGTGCTGACATTTTATTTTGTTCGCTTTAACTTTAAGCTATAGTATTTTCTAATGCCTGTTCTCTATTTCTATATAGGATTATACTATTCAACAAGATTGGGAGATCTGACTAAAAGAAAGAAAGGCTTTATGTTCAGTTATCACATACACTTTGAATTATGTTTACAATTGCCTAAGTTTCTGATTCAATCCATTTCGCCAACTTGTCTTGTGTATGATATGACTTTTGTTATTGCTATTTATTATTATTATCACTTTTTCATTTGCAATCAAAATATAGACAGTATTATATATTTACGAATTTAAAAATTTTTTCTTACAACACTATACCAACAACAAGTTCAGAAGACCCAAACATGAATTAATTTGATCAGCTTAATTCAATCAATGACTGACGAATTGCCCATGGGAAAGTTTAGTATGTCTATTATATAATTTTACATTTTAATATTGTGAATTTCATCCTTCAATATATGAAACATAGGCTCGTGAGCGAAATAGAAAAGATTATTCAATTCAAAATAGAATGGGTGTAAGGATGCACCTTTCCTACCTCCACAAACTCCAAGAGAGGTAATGAATAACATTTTTAATCTCTAATTAGGAAAATGCAATATTATTAATAAAATTAACTTTCCTAAGAAAATTATTGTAGATCGATTTGCAATTGTGAATACAACAAAAAGCAAAAATAATTAATTATATGGCCAAAGATCAAAAAAAAATAAAATAAAAATTTTGGTTTGAACTTTATATGATGAATTTAAATAAAGATCATACAATATAATTTAATATTCTCTTTTTTGAATTTTTTATTTTGTAAAAATTAAATATAAATCTATTAGAAATATAATAGTATATTAAAACATACTAATACAAAATTGTAATTCTAATTCTAATTTCATTCTACCATCTCATCATCTTCAATAACTCCCTCATCACTTTCTTCAATCGCTCCCTCATCATCATCGTCATCTGGTAATCCAACTTGTTTCTCCTCTATTGAACCTCCTCCTCCCTCATTTTCTTCATTCTCTCCTTTTTCGTTATTGTCGTCATCATTATGTTTGTCATCATCATCATCATCATCATCATCATGTCTATCATCATCATTTTCAACATCCTCTTCCTCTTCATCACCTGAAAAAGTTTCCTTTTTCCTTTTTACAGTAAAATTAGAATCTATTACATCTTCTACTATTTCATTACTGTCATCCTCACTGCTTTCTACTGCATCATTATCAATATCATCAGCAACAATATCATCACTTTCATCTTTGCTTGTAACAGTTGCGTCTTCGTTCATGCTATCACCAATTTCATCAGCAGCAGCTACATCATCTTCATCCATTCCAATTTCATCGGTAGCAGCTACATCATCTTCATCCATTTTTTCATTATTTTTATCACCTAATGTGTGGGAGCTTAGTATGCTTGTATCATCATCATTGTTATTATCATTGTTATTTGAAGGTTGGGCATCTAACATATTAACATCGTTTTGTATTAAGTTTGATGATGATATGTCATTTATATCATTCAACAATTGTTGAGGTGATAAATTTGGTGAATTATTTTCAACTGGCGAAATAAATTCACTTCTAACAGAAGATGGTGTATTGACATGTTCATCATTATCTTCAAGTATTTGTTCATACTGTTCTTTGTCATTTTGTATTTCTGTTTGAATTTCATTAACAACCAATAAAACCTTTTCTAATTGATTACTACGTTTTTCTAAAATACCACTAAGAAATTTGTCTTTTTCTTCAAGTATCAAAATTTCTTCATCCAATTTTACTATTTCGCTAAAATAAAAAATCATGATAATATTAATAATAATATTACTTTAAAATATATATATATATATATATATATATAAAACAAACTTTGTTGATTCTTCTCTTGATTTATGTTGATTGATTTCCATTGCCAAAGCATCATACTGTATTTTATTTCTACGTATTTCTTCTTCTTCTTTCAATTCTTTTTCTAAATTCTCGATAACTTTTTTTGTGGCCTCGATTTCTTGCTCTAAAAGTTTTTTTTATAAAACACCAAAATATTATATATAAAATATTTTTTAGAATATTTGAAATTATAATTAATCTATTTATAATTTACCAATCCTACGAGCTTCCATTAACCAATGTTGAGTTTCTTGGATATTTACATTATGAATTGCTTGAAAACGGGTTAATGTTAATTCATATGAAGTAAAGTCTACAATAAAATCATTATATAATTGTTGACTTTTAATTTCAAAAAAATCACCAAGAAATAATAGTCCTTTAATATATTGTAAAAAATAACCAGTTCTATTATTATTGAAAACAATCTCTATCAACTAAAATACACACACTTCTTTTAAATTTCCTTGTTCTAATGAATTCATCAACAATGCATGTTTTTTAACTACTCGACGAAGACTACGCTCTTCGACTGCAAGTCTATCACGAATAATTTGTTCTGTAAAAAAAAATAACGGTAAAAATTCGAGTGCAGTAAATCAAGTAAAAATTATTACTGATTGAACCTAAATATAGCTCTTGCCTTCATCTGCCATTTTTCGTTTACAATTATGTTTTTTTAATGCTTTTTTACTTTTTTTTTTTTTACTAACCGTTACACGATTTTGATGATCTTTTTTATAGTCTGCATTTGCTGGAAAATATAAATAAGTACGGTTTAAAAATATTGATTCGCATTCCCTACCATGAAATTTAAAAGATTTCTAATGAGATTATAAAAAAGTACAACGTTATATATATATTCGTTAAAACATGTTTTCATCATACAGTTCACTCTCTATAACGAACTTCTGATTTAATTCTCTTTCTATAATAATAACGAACAAACAGAGAACGGAAGGCCGTTATAGAGCGTGAACTATAAATTGCAGATCTGTTCATTATAATTGCTCATACGGGGGGTTTTTGAATAGAAACGAACCATACTCCTAAAAGGCAATTTTGAGTTAATACAATTTCTGAACATTTTTGGCATACTCGCTTTGCATAGTAATAGTGAAATTTATGAGATCTTAAAATGCTGATCTTTTTTTCAAAACATCATTTTCAAAGTATGAATTCGTTTCTAAACAACGATTATAAATATCATCAATAAATTATTTATAATAACGAGTGTGTACATGTAATAAAAAAATAGTTGAATAGGTGTAGTTATATAGTTAATATTGTTGATGTATTTTTAATTAATTAATAATTTCTAGCAAAAAAAAATTTTTTTTATCTGTTTTCACAACTATCATCAAATATTATGAAGATGCTAATGATGGTGAAATAGATGGTGAAGGCGGAGAAGACGGAGAAGAAGGTGATGATGATGATGATGATGATTGTTTAATTATTTTTACACCAGGTAAAGCAATTGGATTAAAGATTCTTTGACATTCAGCATAAGCTACTCCTGCTCCAAATCCTGTTGATAATGTAATTGGCCATGATTTTTCTAAAACATACAAACGAATAAAGAATTAATTGGAAAGAGATTTTTCATAATATCTTCCTATATTTTTTTTTTCAAATAAATCTTACTTCTAAATATTAATGCTGAAGCGACTATACCAACACCTAACCCAATTCCTGTCTTTACTAATAAATTAGATAAACAATGATCCCACTAATTAATTATTCGTCATTTATTCATTTGATTGATGATTTTTGTTAAAAACAAAACTTTTTTAGAATTTGAAAAAAGCAAAAATATAATAATTAAGATAAATAGTTCTTTTATTTGTTTGCTTGTCACCTTTTCATCTAAAGTGTTCTCACTTGGTATCTTGCCTTGTTTACTTTCAACCATTATCTTCTATCAATGAGAAAAAATTTCAGATGAAAATTAAAAAATTTTATATAGCAATAGCGTGTAACATTGGGTGGTTCAAATATGCAGATCAAAATATCATTATAAATTTGACGCTCAACATAAGGAAGAGTTGGTTTTTAAATGTCGTAATCGGAAAACTTTTGTAAAAATCATGTGATCTGATTTTATTTTGATCGGGTAAACAACAGAAATAGATCAGTCACAAGCGAATAAAAGGAACTTTATAGAAGCCTTTGAGCTTTGTAAAAGAGTCAGTTTATTTATTTACAGTTATTCGGTACCATTAAGTGTGTTTATAGATTTGTCGAAGCTTTCTAGGTACAAGAAAGAGGCAGTAAGCGAGAAGCAAAGTAAGTTCAAAACTAATTAATTGGCAAGCACAGAATTTGCAATTAACCAACAAGAGTAGCTCAAAAGTTAGGCTGTGATCAAAAGGATACCTTGAAATATCATCATTTAACAAGAATCAAAAGCTTATTACTTTATTATTATAATTTAATAAAATAAAAAGATAAATAATCACAACAAATAAATTTATAGTGGAGATTAAATTGGTCACTCATCGAAATCTAATCAATCAATGTAAATAAAAAAGTATTTTTAGTAATAATTATGAATTAATGGATAGTAATTTCCAATTAATTAATAATGAAATTTTTATTCACCTTTGTTAACGTTTTAGAGAAAAGAATTGATATCAAGACTTAATGAGGTGTCATTACTTGTATAACTTTTTAAAATTTTAGACTTAGCAATCTCTTCATCCAATATTCTACTTTTATGATATGCATCTGGGATGTGATTTGTGTACTTGTTGCGAACTACCACCACCACCACCACTGCTGCTGCTGCTGCTGCTGCTATTATCATTATTAAAATCAATTTCATGTTTTATACTATTATTGCTACTATTATTTTTCAAACTTTCATTATCATGAATTTCCTTATATTTATCATAAGCGAAAATAAAAAGCTCTTTACTAGTTGGTCTTTTCGATGGATCCATATCCCAACACCTCTGCATCATTTGCGCATAATCATCAGGCATTCCAGGTAATACTGATGGTCGTAAACCTTCACATATATCAAAAATTAAACAATGATTGTGAGCTCTATCATAAAATGGTGGATGACCTGCAAATATTTCCCACATTAACATCCCAACACTATAGATATCAGTCTCTTTTGTATTCTTTGTGTTATTGCCTCTAAGTAGCTCGGGTGCAACATATGATACAATTCCATAGACTTTATTTGATGACTTTTCATCAATTGGTCCACATAATCCTAAATCTGTAATAAAACAACCACCTCCTTTCATAAGTATATTACCACTATGTAAATCACAATGAACCAAATCTTTCTTATGTATCAAACATAATCCATTACATAAATACATAAAGATTGTAATTCTGTCTTTTAATGTTAAATTTAAATGATTTTTTTGCAAGTAACCAGTGTTGGAAATTCAGGGTGCGCAGGGTGCGCGCGCAGCATGTTACACCAAAATTGTGAAACATTTTATGTGCAAA